AGTAATCCCGCAAGTATTTGGAGAGCTCCATCTCAATGGCTCCACCACCAGCCACCACAGAGTCATTCTTGATGGCCCTCCTCACAATCATGATGGCATCATGTAGGGACCTCTCTGTCTCCTCCATAAACTGCTCAGCGCCACCACAGAGGATGATGGTACATGTCTTGGCCTTTGGGCAGCCAGTGAAGAAATTGTACGTCTCCCCTCCGATTTGAGTCTCTTCAAACACCTGGCAGCGGCCAAGCACATCCTGACTCAGAGCATTCACACTGGTCTGGATTGAGCCTCCACAAGCCATCATTGTCCTCTTCAGATCCTCCTCAGGCACTCGGCCAGCACAGAACATGTCCCTATCAGCAAAGTATTGGGTGGCCACATCCCCAATAGGGAGTTTAGACAAGATGACTTTGGCTCCTGACTGATGGATCTTCTCTAACTTGTCATAGAGAATGTTCCAGTCAGCGTCAACAATTGCCTGGTAATCCTCCACTGTGTGGACTCTGATTTCAGCATTGTCTTTCTCTGCTTTCTGCTCTAGTTCAACATTCAAGGGGGCAATCTTGGGGTTCTTATACTTTTTGGGCTGCATTTCAAACCCAGCATAAGAGAAAGTCTTCTTGAATGCAACACCAGCCACCAGCTGAGACTCCTCTAGGGCTCCGCCCTGCACCTTCTTGATGCCGATCATTTTAAGCTGCAGCAACTCGTCAAGCATCATCACAGCATCCACCACCATCTTGGCGAAGAAGACCTTCTGCTGGGAGATCAGCTTGGAGCTCAGGGCTGTCATTGCACATTTCTCTAGCATCTTCCTCTGTTCTACTTTATCTTGCTTCTTCACAGTCACAGCTATCTCTTTGATTTTGTTAACAGCCAGCTGGGTGGCTGTGCGGAAAGCTCGGATGATGATCTGGGGGTGTAGACCTTCCTCCACGTAGGGCTTCACCTGCTTCAGAAACTCTGCAGCCAGCAGGGTCACTGAGGTGGTGCCATCACCCACCTTGGCATCTTAGAATTTGGCAATGTCCACTAAAGTCTTTGCTGCAGGATGGACAACATCGAGGAGTTTCAGAATTGTGGCCCCATCATTAGAAATTGTTGCTTTGCCTTGGCCATCCACAATAAGTTTGTCCATTCCACGGGGACCCAGGGTGGTTCTTACAGCCTCAGCAATCACTTGGCAGGCACTGATGTTGCTCACGAGGTGAGGGATGCCTTGGGAGCTATCAGTACCCTCTTTCAACAGGATAACTGGTGTGGGCATCATCTTGGAAGCGGCTTCTGGTCCCTCTCCTATTTCTTAAAGACAACATCCCAGGATGGAGCTCGGCAAAGCCACGAAGCCTTCTCTCATAAATGTCCTCTGAACACTGCCTCAATTGTCCCAGTGAAACAGGCATCAGGTGTTGTCTCCCTTGTGTCCAGTTCCCTTTATTTTTTCTAGCCCCTGATATTTCTGGGGACCCCATCCTGAGGTCACCAAGAATTCCTAATGGCTCATATGACAGCCAGTCCATCAGAGACCTATTTTACATTTTATTTTAGAATGCACCATTTTCTATTTCAAGGAGGGTTAAGTATATTGCTCAGCTTTTCTGTTTCTGTGACACTCAGACTGATTTCATCTGACTTCCTATCTCATAGTCTCAAGAGTTCGTCCTTGAGAGGCTCTTTCGTTGTTTACGTTTTTCCCAATTAAAACAGTTCAGAAACTGTTTAAATATATCCTGGTTAGCAGAGTTTTGTTTGTTTGTTTGTTTGTTTGTTTTGCTGTTGTTGCTGTTGTTGTTTTTGTTTTTTGTTTAGTTTTTTTACATTAAGGCTTCTAGGCCAGCTAGTTTTATGTCAACCTGATACAAGCTAGAGTCATTTGGGAAGCATGAACCTCAAGGATTGATAGCTAATGTAGAAGGCTGTAGCCCATTGTGAGTGATTTTACCCACTAGCAGGTGGTCCTGAGTCTGGAAGAAAGCACACTGAGCAAGCCACAGGGATCAGTCTCTCAAACAGCCCTATTCCATGGCTTCTGCATCAATTCCTGGCTCCAGATTCCTGGCATGACTTCCCTCAGTGATGGAGTATGGCCTAAGAGTTGTAAGATGAAATAAACCCTTTCCTCCCCAAGTCACTTTCTGTTGTCTATCAGGACAATAGCAACTAACTGAAAAAGCCCCTGTATACATGTGGAATCATGATTTTCCTTCTTTTTTTGTAAAGAACAGACCTAAGGGGCATCTTCTATTCTTCTCTACCCTAGTGTTCAGTTCTTCTCACAGATTCCAAGTGTTTAGCTAGAAAGGACTCTTTGTCATAGATCTAATTTGCATTCTATTTGCATTGCATAAGATACTGTAGTGGGTTATCCTGATGCTGTTTGTATTCTGATGTTAATACTGTTTCCTCAAGAGGGGTTGCCCAAGATAAACAGTCCATCATATACTCAGGTGATGTTATGTGAACCTTCTCCACACTTTAATGGGTCAATAACAGGCTAGAGCCTATGATTGGACAGAAAAGGACAAAAGTGGGACATGAGGTTCGAGAGTGGGAGGCTCAGTGATTAAGAGCATTGTCTGCTCTTCTAGAGGTCCTGAGTTTAATTCTCAACAAGCACATGGTAGCTCACAACCATCGATAAGGGGATCTGATGTCCTCTTCTGGCGTATGGATATGCATACAGACAGAACATTCCTACATTAAATAAATAAATAGATAAATAAATAAATAAATAAATAAATAAATAAATAAATAAATAAATGTTTCTTTTAAAACAAAGAAAGAAAATAAAAAGAAAATATGCTACAGTTTTGCCTACAGCCTGCTTTTATGGAAGCCTTTTCTCAATTGAGCGTCCTTGTTCCCTGATGACTTTTGCTTGTGTCAAATGGACATAAAACTAGCCACTACAGCTTCCGATACCACATAAGGAAAGGTAACCACAGATGTTATACCCTCACATGAATGTCTTAGAATACATTATAGGGGCCATGCAACCATTCTTCTCAACTCATCTTTGGTTCAATTAGGCCCTGTTTGGGTATTAGATTTTCTGTCTTAAGTTTACCTGAAGAAATGTAAACATCTAGTTAACTCAGATAGGGCATTGATGTAAGTCCAATGAAATGATGATACCAAGTATGGCTTAAGGAAACAGTGAGTTTATCAGTTACTTACAGGAGCTTAAGTGAGGGTGAATTACTAGAAGCATGGGTGATTCAAAGACAGCTGCCAATAGACCACCAAAAAGCCCAGCATGGAGGACAACTCATCCATGGTTTCATCCATGAGTTCCCTGCATAGTTTACAGGCAGCTTTTCAGCTAGAGTAACTGGCTAGTAAATGTAATTTACAGATTTATTACCCTGTCTGCAAGGACTTTGAAAATCTTGTAACTTTGAGGAGCTTCCTGGGCCTTATAAGTTTCATGTTCTTCCTGAGCCTTGTAAGTTCCATGTTCTTCCTGAGCCTTTAAGTTCCATGTACTTCCTGAGGCTTCTAAGTTTCATGGCCTTCCTGAGACTTTTTTTTTGTTTTGTTTTTTGTTTTTTGTTTTTTCGAGACAGGGTTTCTCTGTGTAGCCCTGGCTGTCCTGGAACTCACTCTATAGACCAGGCTGGCCTCGAACTCAGAAACCCGCCTGTCTCTGCCTCTTCCTGAGACTTTTAAGTTTTGTTTACTTCCTAAGACTTATGAGCCTCCCTCATCTTCTGAGGGTAGGGAGCAACATTGCAGTTTCAGGGAAGAGATATATAACATTTACCTTAGGACGAATCAAAGAAAGGTCCACCTCAGAGTCACATTTTAAAAAGCTCTAGTAATATTAGCATATCTTTCAAGGCTACCATCTTTTCCAGCTTCAGGAAGGATTTTCGTATGACAACTAATTAGGAGAATCCCTTTCTTTGAAGCTACAGCATTTCCTCAAATCTCTTAGAATATCAGCAGGATGATAAAAAAAAGCTCAAAGTTTAAACTTGGCCATAGTGCTTAGCAGTAGTTTGAATTTGGACAAATGATGATCAGTTTGAATCTCAGGTTCTTTATCTACAAAATATGATGTAAGGCTCTCAATTATAGCATTGTTATAATAAAAAATACATTTGTAAAATATTTGTCTTCATATATATTAGAAAGTAAGAGTTCTGTAATTGTAACTTTTTTTTTTACATTAGAAAGAATAGGAAGTCTCTGGGATTATAAATTTGTAGAAGCTTTATGAACAGAAGTTAGATGTTGTAACCTTTTCAAAGAAATATGGATTGGAAGGAGTTAAAAGGAGGTTTCTTGGCTTTTGAAAAATGTTCAGTGATTAGCCAGTTACAGTGACTGACAGCATAGGAGTATACAGATATAAATTAGGTATACAGACATTGTACCTAAGATTTGTATATTTATATGTATGTCACTCACATGTATATACAGATAATACTTAGATAATAAAAGTTATCCAACTTGACTTAGAGATAGTTTGTTTTCTATATCATTTTTACTTATTAGAAAAGCAACTAGCTTTAGATCTGGCACGCCAATAGCTCAGCACCTCGAGAGCTGCAGTTGTCTGTCTCTTGGATGTGGCCTTATTTCAGTGCCAGCCTGGAGCTGACAAGCATATTGTGAGGGTCATGCTTCATCACCATTGACAGCTGGAGATGCCACCACATGTCTTTGGCAGAAAGGCTCAGGGAAAACCAGGCAGTGGACTGTGCTGCCTACCCTTAGGCTGCGAAGGCACAGCTCTGGAAACAGGAGGATTAAAAAGCCTCTCAATTTAAAGAGACAAGGGGGAGGGGAGTGTGGGCTGCACAGTTTATAAATAGACAGTGCTTCAGGCTGCCTGATGATGAAGTGGTTGTTTGGTAAATTTTTCTTTTTTAAGGATGCCATTATCAGAGACTGTTTCAAATACCAGTTTCGTTTAGTGTTCTTGGTGGGCTTCATCAAATCTTGGGTTATATTTCTGGAGTTTTAGGGGCAGGTATTTAATATTTAGGGTCACATTCCATGGAGCACAGAGATGATGATGATGATAATGATGATGTGTCTTTTGCCAAGTGGATGAGCAGCTTTTGGGGTCACAGCTGGAGAGACAAGGATGAGCGAGGACTCCGGGACCACCACCGACTACAAGAGGCAAGCAACAGGAAGGCTTCTCTGCCCTGCCCAGTGAGTTACCATAAAGTCAAGGGAGGCTGGAGTGGCAGGGACAGGGGGTTCTCTTAAAGAATATTTGAGGATTTCTTTGTCTTAAATAAATATTTCCAAACCTTTATCCATTCTTATATTAAAAAAAATCTTACCTATTTGAGTTGCCCTTTAAGACATCTGGTTTTTAATATTTTCAGGTAGTGGTTTCTTAATTTTCAGTAACCTAAGATATCTTGAACTATGTAGTTCGCAGTTCCCAATGAGTCAGAAATCATTCCACTGAGCAATGGCATTTAGGTCAAAGGAGAGGAATTTGTTGTTGTTCTGTGGCGGGGTTGTGAGTCAATGTGTGATTTCAGTTGTCTCTTTGAAATAGTGAAATTACCTCGTGTATATGATAGCCTTTAAGGAACTGGTGATTCCTCATAGCAACTCACTGCCTTTGATACACATGATACATCTCTTCTTTTGGTTGCCATTGTTTTTAATGATTAGAGAGAGAAGAGCCCTCAATCCTTTCCAATTGCAGTGAGGGACAGGGAACACAATGCCAGAGGGAAGCACCTAGGAGCGGATGGGCAGCCTGGGCCAGGTAAGGACTCTTCTGTAGATGGCCAACACAGTCCATTCTTCAGCTGCAGTGCTAGAAGGCTCCACACATGTTATCTGCTTCCCATGTACAGAGCAATAATGATGACATTTCTTTTTCACTAGTCACTTAGAGTTCCAAGCTAGCAGAGACTGCTTACCCAAACCCCTTCTTTGCAAACCTCAGAACCAAGAAAGCTTGTGAGCAAACCTATTTAAGGCCAGGTCCAGGGTCTCAGAAGCACAGTGATGGTAAAGTGTGTGAGGAAATTACTTTTACTGTCTTTGATCAACACCTTGTGTCTGAGACACAAATGTTTCAAAATAAGCTCCTTAGTACATGAATTGGTGCCTCCTCACTTCCCTTGCCTTAGGTAAAGCATGAAGTTGGAGGCGATGCTGTCTGTGAGATCCAGCTCTATCTTTCCATTTCCTTTGCTTTAAAAAATAAGCCTGCATGGTGTGCTCTCATTTAATGTCAACACAATAAAATGCTCCAGATCTAATGAGATTTTCAGAATCTGTGAACTGGGAGTACTATTAGCTTGAAGATTTTAGGTACGGAAACCAGGCAAAGATAAGAGAAAATTTGTGACATATAGGTCATTGGAATGGATTCCTAGTGTCACAGAGAATGTGACAATAAAGGAAGCAATATGCTTTACAAAATATAGTTTCCTGAATAAACTACAGTATAATCTACTCTGTTTAGAAAATTCTTGTTAAGCTTGCAATACTTTTTTCTTCCCTTCCACTACTGGGGAACCACAGATCTATTGTGAACAGCATTTCTTAATGGTAAATATACAGTGTATTTTCTGCTCATCTCTAATTTGTTCATTTTCTTAATTGAACGTGGCCAGAGTCTCCAAGCAAATGATCCATTTTATAATTAACAGATCAGCATACATGTATTTACTTTGAGACAAAATGTGAAGTAAAATTTAAAATGTGAGTGATAGAGAAGAGGATACAGGAACAGAAGACAAATCAGAGGACACAGTTAACACAGCCATGATCCTAGAGGACACAGTTAACACAGCCATGGTCCTAGAGGACACAGTTAGCACAGCCATGGTCCTAGAGGACACAGTTAACACAGCCATGGTCCTAGAGGACACAGTTAACACAGCCATGGTCCTAGAGGACACAGTTAACACAGCCATGGTCCTAGAGGACACAGTTGACATGGCCATGGTCCTAGAGGACACAGTTGACATGGCCATGGTCCTAGAGGACACAATGGGCATGGCCATGGTCCTAAAGGACACAGTTGACATGGCCATGGTCCTAAAGGACACAGTTGACATGGCCGTGATCATAGAGAACAAGCACTCCGATTCACCTTGTCTAAATAATGCTGTATGTTTGTGAGTCAAAGTGTTTTATTATCAAAATGGGCTAGTAGTTTTCTTATTTTTGAGAAATGTTGTTTTCTGTTTTCTTTTAAAATGAGTTCCTGGAGGTTTTCTCACAGCATGTTTTGATCATAGTTGCCTTTCTTCCCATTCTTCTTTCCAGGTTGGCCCATACTTCCCTTCCCACTCAACTTCATGTCTCTTAACTCTCCCATCCCCTCATCAAAACCAAGATGCAGTTTATGCTGCTCTGATGTTCTTGGCTATGTGGCCTTCCACTGCAGCTTGGTCAGCCTCTTAGAGGGTATACTTTTAGAGAAAATAACCTTTCCTCCTCCAGCAGCTTAGAACTGCCAGTAGCTACTTGAGTAGGTGTGGAAGGTTATATCCAACTCCTTCCCCTCTTTCTGCTGGGGCTTGGTTTAGCTTGAGTTTACACCAGTGTGTACATATGTGCAGTTTTCCTGCTGTGACTAGATTATTTATGTGAGTACAATGTCATTGTCATCAGACACACCAGAAGAGGGCATCGGATCCCATTATAGATGGTTGCTGGGAAGTGAACTCAGGATGCCTGGACGAACAGTCAGTGCTCTTAACTGCTGAGTCATCTCTCTAGCCCCCTTAAGCTCATATTTTATTTTTAACCTCCTCTTTCACTATGAGCCATGAGCTTTTGGAGGAGGAGCTGTGGTGTATATTTTCCATTTAGGGATAGGCATTCTAAAGTGAATTATTTTCTACACCATGGCTGGTTATGGGTCTCTGTGTTGATCATCATCTACTGAAATACGAAGCTTCTTTGATGAAGGTTGAGAGACTCATGAGTCAATGGATCATTGTGAGTAATAGTAGGTTCTTTCCTAGGGTGTATGGTCAGACTAGCAATAGGTTCCTGTCTCAGTAATAATGTCAGGTATAATTTCATCTTGTTGAGTGGGTCTTAAATCCAATCAGAAAGTGACTGGCTATGCTATGACATTTATCCCACTACTGTATCAGTGGACATGTCTGGTGCAACAGCAGCTCAAAGGGTCCACACCTGGTAAGATTAATGTTTGTGGGTTTTTTTTTTCCAGTATCATGAAAACTTCAACACTGTGAAAACTAGCTAGTAGGGGCATAGCTCCCAGGTGAATACCAGCTTGATATCTCCATATTCTACGCCTCAAGTATGTGATGTCTTCAACAATAGGGCCTTATTGTCAAGTTCTGGACACTATCGGGTTTCAGTTTTAATTTCAAAGGAAATTATTAATAAGGAAATGCAATTATCTTGTTCTCATCTTTTTTCTTCTTTTCTGCTGTTCTAATTTTAGCATCTTCCTTCTCTAAATCTAAATAATCTAGACTTGGAATTAGTAAATGAATAGGAATTCCTCCTTCTTGCTTATTTTAAATGTTTTTTCTAGCATGTCTTTATTAATACATCTTATGATTCAACAACACAGCATTCATTCATTCATTCATTCATTCATTCAACATGTTCCTTGAGTACATATTTTGTCCCAGGTACTGTGCCAAACATGGAGATTGTAAAATATAAAAATAGGCATGTATGGTCCTGCTTTTGAAACTTTTAGTCTAGTAGTATAAACTGGCAGAAAAAAATGATGTACATTCAAGGGTAAATGTCAGTCCTTCTCAAAGCAGACAGCTCCTTGTTCAGATTCAATCTGTGGTTGCTCAATTAACTACTTGGAGAAGTCTGGCTTTAACCAATTACCTTAGGTGGGAAAAGAAAAAGATAAGATGAAGCCTGTCATTAAACATTCTGCCTTCTCTGTCCGTATCACAGGGATACAAACAGAAGTAGACCACCTATTCTGTTCATTGTGTGACTGTATTTCTAATAGCTTAGTGGATTCCACTGTCCACTTCTCTTCACAGCTTACTACAGTTCTTGAAACCTTGGTCTTTATCATCTGAGCCCTGTGCAAGGGCACTTGCACTACATGAAATATCATTTGGAGAACAGACTGAGTGCCCTGATCGCTGAAGAATCTTAAGCTCCTTCATGCTCCAGAGTAGATACCATGTATGACTGTCCTGGTGAAGTTATTTGATGAGAACAAACAAGTTTCTATCCACCCACATTCAGCATATTCTCTTTTTACTTCTTCAGATCACATTTAGTTATTTTATGTTCTTTTGACATATTTTCAAATTAAAGTAGCAAATTCTCAAAATTTTAATCTTTGTCCATGATGATCCTAGGGTGGTTACATACTCACTTCTGTAGAGGTTCTCCTGTAGTTGTTCACTAAAAGGGCAGATTGGAACTGGACCCCAAAGGTATATCTCAAAAAGCTAGAAAGAAAAGCTACGACACTATTTTTATGATTGGCAGTGAATGGTTTCTCATATTTTACAATATATTCATATTCGGTTTTAATAGGTAACCATTTTATAATTCAAGGGAGTGAAGGACTATAGTGAAGCTTTTGCCATAGTCTTCTTTCTGGGATGCTATGGTGGGGAAGACGCTATGCAGGGAAGAAGGTGATGAGTTTGGAAGGTGCTCTTGATGATGCCTTCTGTTTCCACTGGCAGCATGGCTCTGAACAAGGTCCTTAATATCTTTTTGTTCAGAGTCCCATAAACAGAACTGGTGGTAGTTGTTTATCCCTCACAAAGGCACATACATGGTACAGTGACTGATGAACATAAATACTTGATACAGCACCAAGTACCAAATGAATACTTAACTATTATTGGAGATTGTAAAACCTTGCTGAACTCTGAAAGGAGAAGGAAGAAAACACCCCACAGCATAGAGGAAACCTTAGATGCTCTAGGTTGCATTGCTATTGCCCAATTGTCCCATGACCTTGCTGGAATCTCATTATATACCCACACTCCAGTTTTTCTTCCCTCCTTAGACCTCTTTATTATTTAGCACACCAGGAAGCTCCTTTTGTGTGGGGCTCATCCTCAGGTATAAAGCAGTCTGTGTTCCCCACAGAGCCTCTTCAGGTAAATCAAGTCATCACACATTCACAGAAGTCTCCCTTGCCTCCATCCAGGTTCCCAGCACCATGTAAATATAAATAGTTGATCTTCATGGAGTCA